GGGAAAAACCATTGGCTGCAACATGACATCAGGCATGCCAAGGTATTGCTTTAGTAAGGATCATTTTTTTCCAGTTTCTCGTCTCTTTTCTTTCACAACTTCTCATCCAAATGTAAAAGCCAGTAAGCTATTTGGAGTGCCACCAACGGAGAGGCAAGCTAAGAAGTGTGTATTCACAGAGCAGCACCGGTAGGTCTCAAGTAAGAAGTAAATCTTGTAGCACAAGTCCTGTGTACCACAGGACACTCTTGTTGACTGTGGCTCCGGTTCAGGAAAGCATTTAAGCATGTGCTGAAATACATCCCAATTCAGAGGAAGTATATGCTTGACTTTAAGCATGTTCTTAAGTCCTGACGATTTCAATGGGACTTAAGCATACACTTAAGTACTTTCCTGAATGGGGGCCTATAACAACAATAATAAATTTGCTGTGCGGCATTTTAACTTCATTGGACTTCTTCTGAGATTTCATTTTTTAGGAGCAACTCTTAGCAGCAGCCTTCCAAGGGAGGGCAAGATAGAGCAGGACTATATTCCTAAGCACACACACGGAAATGGACCATATGCATATATGTCAAATAGAAATAGAGCATTTGCTAGAAAGGCTGTCAGGGTAGTAACAAAACAAAAAGGAAGTGGTGAAATTCTTTAGCCAGCTCCCCAAAAGCTAGCCAAAACGTTGTCCAAACTTGGCATACGTACAGACATATATTATAGATGCACATAAGCTAAACTTGGTCTGCACTGCCGGCCAATTTGAAGGGAGCTGGCTCGTTACACTCGGTTCAAACCGGCTGAGCAGCACGTCAGTAGAGTCGAGGATCTCCAAGAAGCTGCCGTTGCACTTCTTGGATCTCCGCGGCTTTGAGAGAGATGCATTTGTTCTCTTGAGACATTCAGGATTTTCAGGAGATGGAATTGCAGATTGGAGACCCTGTGGGCATCAGTAGTTAAGACATGACAAATATTTTCTTTGGGTTTGGTAAATCATTATTTTCCAACTTTTATATCCACATGAATGGCAGCATGGGCAGGAAGAGCTCACTCATAGAGGTCGGCTTCTTCCTAAGGATCCTTTCATGATGGCTTGGGATGTTTGCAGTTAAAGATCTGTTGACTCAAGCTGGTCCATGCCCCTGGTGCAGAGCAGATCCATCTGCCACATCAGCTGAGGTCCTGGTGGCAGAATAGCTACATGCATCAGCTTGTACAAGTCCTGGTTTTCCTCAAGGGCTTTACTAGAGCCACTGGCCCCTGTATATGTTCTGCATGAAAGATGTTTTGCTTTGAAATAAACTTTGTGATGCCTGAGAACTCCCATCAGTCATGCACAGTTTGGATTTAGGAAATTACAGCCTAGTCACAGGTAGATAGATTCAGCGCGTGAAAATGATTCATGCTATTCCATCACCTCTTCTGCTTTCTTAAAGAACTAAAGGCCTATGACTTGATGAGTATCAACGGAGTAGAAAAGCACAGGTTGGTCTGACACCCTGGACCAAGAAATGATTTTGTTCTCAATTATATTTGTAGATCCCTTACTTGCCACTGCACATGTTCAATTTAATGAGAAATTGATAGTAAATAATCAAAGGAAGTAGTAACTATAATGAAATTTTCTACACCAGCAATTCCTGAATTAAGGATGAGACCAAAATATTTTTTTTTTGAGGAGACCATGTTCCATCATGCTTTGCTGTGAGGAATTTCTGAATACCAAATCTGGCTTTCACATGGTGATATATAGGGGAAATACCCCTAGAAGAGAGACAGTCATTAAGTAACATCAGTAGTATCACAGAGACAAATCACATCTTTCATTTATAAGGATTCGTTTAATGTCAGCAAAATACCGGCTAAAGAATGGGTGGTAAGTGCAGGCTGATGTTTTCAAAGTGGCTAGCAGTTTTAGATTCTGTGACACAATTTGAAGGCAGCTGATTTCTCAAAAGTATCAACTCTCCACCCATGGAAAATCAGGCCGTGAGCCACCCAGCAGAAATAGCAGGTTTTAAAAGTCTCAGTAAGAATTTTCTAGATCTGCGTTGGGAGTATCCTGACTGTGAACTTCTTGTCCAACTAGGCAAAAAATTAATATGAGAGTGTTGAAAAAAATATCTCCATTGGAACAATATTGTTTTGAGGACCACATTTGGAATTTGACAAATACCTGGTGGAGATGTGCAAAGGCTTTGGCCATGCCACTTGGGAAATACGCCTGGCGTCCTGGTCAGTGGCTCCCCCCACCGCTGTCCAGCCAGAGGATGGGCAGAGTGCTGGGACCACGCGAAGCCGTAAGAGCACAGGGTCCCCACGTGCAGAACGGCCAGGACTCACAGGGCTCCTGGCTGTCCGGCAGCCCACCCACCAGCCAAAATTACTGAGATTGTTTCAGTTTCCCTCCTCGCGGATACCCACAGCTTCTGTTCAATAACACTGTGAATGTTTTAAAATGTGTGTTTTAGACTTAGAGCAACTTAGAGCAAAATCTTGAAATTCTTCAAAGCCCAAAATTGCCATTCTCATCACAGGTCTCATTAGCAGATTACGCACAAACTTCGTGTGCTTCTTGACATAGTGGATTGGAAATATATATGTTTCTTTCTTGGCTTGATGGACAAATAACGATCTTCCCTTACACCTCTTTCTGAGCTTTTTCCAACCTAATAAAGACATTGTGCTCCCATCGCTTACCAGTGTCGTGGCACAGGATCCTGTGTACCCACATTAGCCACTGGATGGAACCACAGAGAACAGCCTTTAAAAACTTTGCTTTTGGGGGGACCCATCAATAATTCATTGTGAGCAAGACATCATAGGAACAAAAAAAAGAACTCAAGAAATCATAGATAAATAAGCTTAACATATAGAAAGATACTGGAAGAAACGATTAAACAGTAAGTTCAGAAGTATATGTGAAGATGTAAAGTTGGTAAGAAAAGACAATATAGACTTATCAGGAACAAATGACATTAAACCAAGGAAATTTTGTTCTCTGACGGGGTACCCAGCACAGCGGGGAGGAAGGAAGCAGCAGGTATCTGTAAGGTTTCTGACTTAAGCTCCAGACCATATTTTCATAAACAAAGTAGGGACATGGGATCTGTATGAAATCTCTGCAAAGTGCTTGTATGAGTGGTTGAAAAAGTACTTATGGAGTAGTAATAATCAAGTTTTCTGTTAGTCTAGAAACACACAACAAATAGAGGTACCATAACAATCTACAAGACGATGAGTCATATTTAATGTTTCTGTTAGCAAAATGGAAGAAGGAATAGACAGAACCCTACAAAACTTCCTGACAGCAACGAGCATGGAGAGGTTGCAAGCACAGTATTTCCCAGGAGAGGAACAGACTCCAAATTGGTGCTAAGAAGTTGGAACAAAGTGTCTGAAATCACTTAAATGGAATTTAGGAAAGTAAACCTCAAGGTATAAGACGTAAGAAGAACAAAATCTAATGTACAAATGCAGTACAGGGAATAGATGGTGAGGCTGTGAGATTGAAGTGAAGGAGGTATTACGTAAATCACAAACAACCTGAATCATCAGCATATGGGTCTACAAGCAACAGCAACAAGATGATGCGATGTTCTACTGCTAAATAACAGTCCTCAAGCATGTAGAAGACTGTTGTACAAAGCGGATGATGATCCATTGTTGTTTGCGCCCACAGAGGATAGGATTAAGTATTTTGCTTAATTTGCTACGATAAAGCTTGAGGCGGGGGGGGGGGGGGGGGGGGGGAAAAAAAAGTGTAGGGGGGGGGGGGGTGGGGGAGGGGGAGGAAATCCAGTGGAATTATAGGAATAATGAAACACAAAGCAGGCTTTCTAAGGAGGTTGTCTAATCTGCATTAGTAGAGGCTTTGAAGAAATCACACGAAAAAAAGGTTGGTAAAACTGGTCTCATTTTATTTCATCCTGCTG